AATGAAATAAAGAAGACGTCTCTCTCTCTCTCTCTCTCTCTCTCTCTCTCTCTCTCTCTCTATCTCTCTATCTCTCTATATCTATCTATCTATCTATCTATCTATCTATCTATCTATCTATCTATCTCTATCTATCTATCTATCTATCTATCTATCTATCTATCTATCTGTGTGTGCACGCGTGCGCCTTAGTATGTAGCAAAAGGATCAGCATGACAACGAAATAACGAAGATGCTCTCTCTCTCTCTCTCTCTCTCTCTTCTTAGCAATTTTTCTGAGTGTATGAAATCGATGAGCTAGAAAACGGAAGAAGCCAAACTCAACCGAAAGAACAAAGGTTCCTGTACAAATGGAGAATCAGAACTCTGCATTCGGGCGCAAGTGTACGTATGTGTGCGCAGGTGTGCATACATGTGTGCATGTGGGGTGGAAGGGGGGGCAGTGCATGTGTGTGGTCGGTGGGCATCTGAGAGAGTGTGAAAACGTGAGTGCACACGCATGAATATGTGTGTGCATATGTGGGTAGCTGGGTGGAGGGTGGGTCTGAAGGTGGGTGAGTGGGCGGAGGGTGAATGTAAAGGTGGGTGGATGGGAGAACGTTTTAGTCGGAACAAATTTTCTGTGCGCTTTGGCCAGCCAGACTCGCTGGATGTGAAATCACCCATAGGCTAGGCTACCAGTGTTCCCCCGGGGGGACCCGCCCAGGGTACCTGCGCGAAAGCAAAAGCCGGGCTAATTTCTTTCTTATTTGTGGGGGCAGAGGGGCGATTTTGCACCCACTCAGATGTGGCAAAATCCAACCTTATCTTTGGATTTGGTGATGTTTCCCGAACGTACGTCTATGGGGTATAAACGGGTTTCAAAGGGGCTTCATCGGGTTTGAAGGCCTGAACGGGTGTGCAAGAATTTAATGCTTTGTTTTTATTTTTATTTCAAATTTCATAACGAGTTTAGGGGTGACACTCAGTCCAAAGTTGTTTGATTTTCAATTCTGCACAACTTCAGTTCATTTTCTTTTTCCACTGGGGCTGTTCGGGCCCTTGATTGGGACTTTGCCCAGACCTGGCCCAGCTGGGCCAGTCTGAGGCAACCCAGCATCCAGGCTGGTAGCCCATCTCATAGACACAAGGGGCCTCACTCCACCACTCACCAAATATGCAAAATGAGAATGAATCCTCCACAAGAACGTTGAGAGATATAACCACCATAATTTTTGTCTTTCGACGTACAGGACATCTCACCTTCCAGCCAGATATGTTTTTCCTTTTTGCAAGAGTGACTGCGTTGAGATATCGTGCCTTGCTGCGCCACTCACAGAATGCGCAAACTGAGAACGTATCTCCCGCTAGAACATGGAAAGACACACCTGCCATATTTCTGTCTTTTTCACATTTGGTGAGTGGTGAGGGGAGGTCCATCATCGTTGAACTGACCGGCCCGGGGCGTCCATAATTTCACTTCTTATCTGGACCATTTCTCAATTTATGTGTGTCATCTATTCGCAGGCCCTAGCTCAGTTGGTGCACCCATGAACCGTTGAAATCCAGACTTGCACTCGCCCGGATCAAACTAGAATGAGATAAAACAATACCTAGGGCTGGTCAGTTGGACGATGATATCAAGGACGCAACCCTTTTTAAGCGAAGAGAGAGAAAGAGGAAGCAGCTGAGAGAAAAAAGAGGGAGAGGATTTTCTAAGTTCTAACTAAAACAAATTATTATTACTAACAACTAATAACAAGGTTACCCAAGTTCAGGTTCAGCCAAACTTTTCACTGAATGTCCGAGCGTTCGTGCCCCCCTGGCAAGATGTTCGACCAAATACCGAACTTTGATCTTTTTTATCTTTTTTCTTCTTAAACCACGAGTACACGTGCACCTGAGCAGGAGTTCCCAAGTTCGGGTTCAGCCGAACTTGTCCTACATTTGGCCCTACCTGCCACGACGTTTGGCTGAATGCCAAACTTTGTTCTTTTTTATCTTTTTTTTCTTAACCACCAGTACACGGACACCTGAGGCCGTGCGGCTGACACCGAAGTTTTGGAGGCCTGAAACACGATGCCAGCCATTGATAATTTTTATCAACCGCGCACACCAGCCTGGATTGTTGCGGTGCAAAAGTGTGGTTCAGACTAAATGCTTTTGCAAGTTTTTTTTTTTTTTTTGGCCGATCCGTTGGGGCCTATACTACCCTGCTGTTGTTGTTTTATTTTAAGAAAAAAAATCATTAAGGGGTAGGGGCGCATTGCCAACCGAACACGATCGACAGCCCTCTCTGCCCACGATGTGTGCTTGTGTGCGTGTCTGTTATCATATCCGCTATACACTCAAAAAAAAAGTGTGTGTGTATGTGTGCGTGTTAGTTATAAATTTCCCCCAGCCCCCTCCGCCCACGATGTGTGCGTGTGTGCGTGTCTGTTATCATATCCGCTATACACTCGAAAAAAGTGTGTGTGTGTGTATTTGTGTGTGTTAGTTATAAATTTCCCCCACAACAGCCCCAATTCCACCCAGATGAGTAGATTCAGAGTCGAAGCAGCTTTCATCATATTGCACACCATGACAGCACTTGAGTTGCGATAGTCCAACAATGAAGCAATTTTACAACGAGACCATTTTACCTCTTTAGCGAGCAAAATAGCCCCCGAGCGTTCCGGGAAACTTTGACCCCTCCTAAACGGTCGGAAATGTAACGCTGATTATTTAAATAATAAACTAAGACCATATTCTTCTCTCAATTCACCTTTCACTACCTACCGACCACTATTCCTAATGCTACACATCCCGAAGAACTTCAGAATTACTTTTATTTTTTATTCCGCTCGTCTGGTTGCATCTGGATTCGAACTCAGGGCCGTACTTCAACAGGTCATGGGTGTAACAACAGCTAGCCCCCCTGGCCCACACATTTTGGCCTCCACACCATATACCCATTCACAACAAAAGACGACGAAGGGTACAACTTGCCGCACCAAATTCGTGAAAAGAAAAGCAAAACGTCGTGACCCACGAACAAAAGCAAACACATAACGCAAATGCCACCCTACAAATGGATGATGCAAAAACATATTGAACATAGAGACCGCAATCCGCAGAAAGAAAATGTTCCCGTTGCACCGCCAAAACAAAACAATCCGCCAAGATCAGCGATCACACGGCCGACACTCAAAGTTGCCAGTGCCGTACACACACAGCCAAGGAGAGATGATTATTTTGTAGACATAACATTGGACAAAGAGGCCAAAAATCCAGTCCTAACCCACTAACTAGTTTAAAATCTGAGGGGGAAGTAAGTGTGCCTTGAACATACACACAAAATGGACCATGACCTTATTCACTAAGGGGAAGCAACATCATAAAGAACAATTGCAGTACCTGCGCCTGCTACCCTGCGCACACCCGAGGGTTAACCCGGTCCGGCACACAGGTTGAGCCTACCGGAGGTCGACAGTCCTCGGGAGTGGCCAAAACGCTTTACGTTTTGCAGTTTTGGGAATTGTTATCTTCTACAATAAAACCATCTGAAAAACATCATAGATGTAGAGTAGATGCTGCTGAATAAGGGGAAAATATTGTAAATATGAAAAAAAGGAGGTTTGCCCACAAAACGGTTTGAAGTAAGCCGGACACAAATGGTTGCCACTGGCAGGCCTGATGACCACTTTTGTTCTGTAGTTGAAAGGTGTGCAATATTGAGCACTTGGAAAATGAGACAGATAGGTGCTGGAGGGTTAAACCACCAGTACTTCCAAGCCTCTTTTTCCCCATGCTCGAAATGCCCTGCATGCCAAAAAAAACGAAACTGCAGGGGCTTCCTTTAGGCTGGTGCCGCCAGCCATTTTGCTCCAGCAGCTGACCCCCGAAAGTTGCCGCGTGCATAGAGCCAAGTTGCAGAGACATGGCTGGGAAACGTACTGGTGGTTCAATACGTGTACCGTGGAACGAAGGGAAATGGTCGCCTTACCTCAGAACACTGCATGCAGGAAAGCAGAGAAGTACTTAGGTGATGTTAATCCTTGTTCATCATGGAACAACATTTCCCCACTTCTTGTATCTAGTGTGCAGGTGACAATCCAACCAACCACAGTTGCATACCTTACCAACTTTCCTTATTAGGACTGTTAGCTTCTTTGTTTGACAGGACAGAACAATCAGCACATTCCTCATAGCAGTGGGGTAGGGACTGCCGATGTAGTGATTCATACCTCAAGTGTGAATAGCTCATAGCAGTAGGGTCAAGACACAGAATGTATTGGTTCATACCTCAAGAGTGAATATACCAGAGCTTTTATCCCCTTTCTCCTCTTCACACTTCCGTTGTCAGCAGCCTCTTGGGAATCTTACACAGTCCCGGCGATAATCCCATAGCATACAAGGAGCTTCCACCAGGTATAGCAATGGCGGCACCCGCTAAGCGGCTGACGCTCAAGAAGTGACAACGGAATTATCTAACAGCCAGTTCCATGTCGCAACGACCAGAAAAGTTAACGTCTGCCCGGCTGCTGGTTGCCCTTACTAAAGGACAAGCTCTTGGAGGAAGACAGCCCAACATAATGGACCTTGAAATCTAGTGCATGCCCAGTTGCAAAGGATCGCCTAAAGTTTAGATGTCAGCTCGGGAATAGTTGTCAGTATGTACTATTATTCATGGAAGAACAACATCGTGCACCTAACGAAATGAGTTTTGTCAAATCTGCTTGACCACTTTCACAACAATTTCCACTCTCTTCATCATAGTTAACGAATGCATGGGCAAGCCATGTTGCATGTTACACATGATCCAATGGAGATCACATGTCTAGTGTCAATATCAAATGCATCACAACAGCACCATCATGGCTCTCCATAATTCTCCAGGTGAAACATGTATCGGCTGTGCTCTGCGATGCTTTTATTACTCGAGTTACAGCCACCAATAGCAACCACCAAGAACAGAAAAGTCTGGACAAAGGGTATTAGGAGAGTGTAACCATGTGGTTGTACGACAGTCATCAGATTACCTTGTCAAGGGCATCGCTTCAAGAACACCCTTCGCCAGACCAGCTTCCCGCACTGTGCTGGCCCCCGCCTGTGCCTGCTCTGCGATAACTGTTTGGTTGTCTCGCGATTGTTCCACATTACGACGTTCTCTTTTGGAAGAGGCCGTTTTTTTCATCGATTGAATGGGACATCTACTTGACAGTGGAAACTTCACGATCAAGTCTTCTAAAGTTGCACAGACGTCTGCGACACGATTACATTGATCCCAAGACTCCCCCATTTCATCTGGCTTCTGCACAAGGCTTCCTTCAATGAGATCCTCTTCCAGCGCTTCCGCAGCCTCCTCTCCGAAAAACTCTACCAAGAGGGATGGCATCCACGACTTCGGGTCGCTTACTGCCCATCGCCGCCCATCTTTCAGTCCCCATGGGCAGAGTTCACGCAGCTCATTGCTCGACCTCGGAGGTATGGCCAAACATTGGTTTTCTGTGCACTGTTTTCGGCCACTCGGAGTTTCACCAACCTTGTCACATTCCCCACAGCTTTCGTAATCCAAATTTTCTATGCGCCGCCTTTTGTTGCTACTTCGCTCAGATTCAGAGTTGGAATCCCCGAAGCAGACTTCTTGCATTCTCGAACCCTTCCTTCGCTTCTTCCGCGCAGGTGTGCAATTTATGATTCTATTCTCCCATCTCTGGACCTCCTGATGTTCTTTCCACCATAAATCAACAAACTCCCGATGGACTGCACCAACGAAGAAATGCAGTTCCCATCAAAAATCAGATCATAACCACCGTAGAAATCTTCGAATACAAGCATTACTCTTGGAACACAACGTAACTCGCCAGCATTAGCTCTCCTCAACAATAAAATTGAATCAGTCCTAGGCAAACCAGCGGCCTATCCCATCCCAAACATTCGCAAGCAATGAATTATTGAAAATTAACCATCCGATCACCCCCATTTGCAAAAACTAGCCCTCACAGAGCAGAAGCATCACCTTATGGGTATTGGGATTGGCTCGCATCCGGTATGTTTGGGTGGAGATAGCACCCACACCAACTATCATCCCCAATGAGCCAAAGACGATTAACTAGTGACTGTGTTCTCAAGAGAGGGCTACGTTAGCCAATCTCCCTCCGTCTGGGTGGTTCGGACCATTGTTTAAAGCACCAGTACATGGCCCCAGGCAATTGGAGAACCTGTTTTGAGCCTCTCCGAAAATCAACGAGGCCCAGCGCCGTAGATTAAATGAATCGGCGGCGGGCGGCCTCCGAAAGGAGCCCGCGGCCTATAGATGGCATGTACTGGTGCTTTAAAATCATCCCTACCAGTCTATAGCATTCAGGGCTCGAACGGTCCAAACCAACAAGCACTTGCGTACACTGACAGTCCGTGGAGATCAAAGGCAAGCTCCAAGGACAAGCTCTTGATAGATTCAATTATTCTCCACCTGATGGGGCAAAACCAGGCATAACATCACCCACCCTTCTTGATCCAAGTGGTACCAACCAGTTGGACAATCAATGCAAAATTGCACGCACACGGCAAGGCTAGGTTCAAGAACAGCATGCTGCATTGACAGCAGCTGCCTCAAGAAAAATACGACGGAAGTGATCTCAGTCAGACTCAATGTGAAAAGAAGAGATACAAAACTGAATGGAGTCGAGCTCATAGACTCAGGCCGGCAATGGCAAAACACATGGCTGCACACACTTGTGGCTGCACACATGCTCTTTTACTCGTGTAAGTGACAATCACCAGAAAACTGGTTTCTTTCGGCTGGCCAGAGAGAGTCATGACCAACGCCCAGAGAATATGTCGACGAGGGCGCACAGCACTTCGTGTATCCCACACGCCATGCTCCTGGAAAAACTGTGAGAAGAACCATACCAGTCGATGCGAGAAAACGCATGCCTACCACCAAGGATGGTCAGTATAGTTGCTGGTGATTATCTACAACGAACGCAGTCACTAGCATCAATGATCGCTCAGTAAGCACATTCGAACAAAACCATGGAGGGATTGCTTGGTGCTGCCAAGAAGCTAGGGCTACCCTTCTTCTAGACCCACGCTATGTTACAGCAGTTAAGAGTATCCATGACATGTGCTTTCCACTCTTGACTGCGCGAGTGCGCTGACTATATACACTACCTGAAATTCACATCCACAGCATATGGTCACCATTCACTCTTGAACAGGCCTTATTTGGATGTTCCAATTGGAACCCTGGCTCCTACTCTAGCATCAGCTACCTCAACTAAACTCTCGAGACTTGCCATCAACCTCTTCATTCAAGAAGAATTGGTACTTCCCTGAAGTATTGCCCATACTTATCGGTTTGAGCATGGGAGGCAAAGGGAGAAGGGTGGGGTGAGGGAAAGGTTGTAGTGCCGTGGCTGAATGATAACTAAATAATACACAGACTCAGCACATGTTCACAACAGAACACATATCCTATGGGGACGGCTAGCCAATGTAAGCATTGGAAACTTTCATCTCCAACCCATTTCCCACGTGAAACAAAACAACGAAAACCCACATCTCAGATCACTGTCCCATCGGCTGGCATAATATGCTTCTTCATTTCTCACCAGTCTTTCGCATCTCTGGAGGCACTATTACAGGACCTCTAGTTGGAAAAAGATGCATCCCCCGACAACCGCCTATCTCTACCTGTATGAAGTAATACTTCTGAACAATCAAACATAGCCCCAATTCTACACTATCAAGTACTTTATGTTAGGGGCTGCCCACACAGCGCGCGGCTGTGGGGTGAAGCACAAGGTTACGACCTGCCATCGTTGCGGTCAACAATGCCAAGCGAAACTCACTCACGGATCGCACTTTGCAATGTGGAAAATAGGCCTGAAGCTTCTGCGAGTGGCATGTTTTCAATGGACGGAGAAGAGGATCCGTAGGATCTCAGTCTATTTTGCAATCACCAACTCTGTTTCAGTCAGAAATCCGTCAACGTTCGTTTGAGAACATATAAATCAGTTTGCAAATCGGCCTACTTTCCATTGTGGGTAGACTACACTCTATTTCAGGAAAGCCCGTTAAACGGCCAGTTCAACTGAAGCTAAGTTTGTGTCCTGCCTGGAGACGCGGCAAAAACATGCTGCTTCGGGAAAACTGGGGGGGGACAGAGTTCGCAAAATTCTGAGTACCCCAACATTGGCTATTTCTAGTTCTAATTTCCAGCATAAAAATTCCAAAAAAAATTGGGGATGTTGCTTCGTATATTACTCCGCATCAGCAGGGGAAAAAAAATAATAATAAACAAAACTGATTTGGCCCATGAGAAAATATTTGTGCCAAACTGAATGCATATTTCAATTGAAGCCAGTGTGCCCCAGTGGGAGTGATGTTTCAGGCTGGGCAGGCTCGGACGGTGGTTTATTTTTTGGTTCATAAACTTTGGCTTGGGAGAACTGGTTGTTTAATCCTCCTTCTGGAATATTGGCATGCCACCGTTGCTATTCAGCATGACCAAGACTGACTAGACAGCATCACATATACTCCTCGCCTGTCTTCATAATGAGGGACCGTTGACTAGCCGAAAGAGCCTGGCCTTTTCCTAATGCTCCAAACCGAAAGGATTGATCAGCTACCTTCCAACGTCTGAAGTCCTGCTCAGCTACCTCAAACATCAAACCGATTCCAGGAATGTTTGGCCCCCTTCCCGTGTACCTAATACTCCCAACCTGCCTTTCGACACCCAATGAGTGAATTTCAAGATGCACCTCCCCCCCCTCCCCCTTTTCTCTCTCTCTCTCTCTCTCTCTCTCTCTCTCTCTCTCTCTCTCTCTCNCTCTCTCTCTCTCTCTCTCTCTCTCTCTCTCTCTCTCTCTCTCTCTCTCTCTCTCTGTGTGTGTGTGTGTGTGTGTGTGTGTGTGTGTGTGTGTGGCACTACTCACCTTTCCCTAACCACAACTGCCTCGAAGGCTCGTGATTCGTCATCATGAATCAAATAGATGTGCAGAATCTCAACTCCATTTGATGGATGCATGCTAAACAGTACCTTAGCAAAAGCCCTCAACCACCTTACACAAACCAGTAGCTGTGAATCCCTCTTTTCAGCATGCTAGGGTATCGGCCACCCCTCTTGATGAACAAGTTCAGTAGGTAATCATGAAGTATCGGTAATTTGAGAGACTTCTAGCAAAAGTTTGAGCCACCTCTAACCCCAACCCTATTTTGTCCAACTTAATGCTTTTCCAGACTTGGAGCACCCAACCTGGAAGTTTTAGGCCCACCAGCCGACAATACATGTACTTCACGTACCAGGATTTGCTATTACCAGCCAGATTTCTTTTCTTGATTTTCTTAATACTTTTCCCAACAGATCAGCAATCCAGCACCTAAACTCGTGATATTCGCCAGAACTTCTGTGAAAAAGTACGAGGACGAAAAACCAGTGAAGTCGGCACAAGCACAATTCTTCACCCTGCCATCAGGCCGATAGGCCAACCTCGCCCATGGTCAGGGTGTCTATCATCACAGGGCTCAACTGACGTTGGGGCCAGTAATGGTCAGACGGTCCTGTGCATCTCCAAGCACATGGGTTCTGGCACCTTGCAACTTAGCAGGTGGAAGCTTTACATATGCGTCCATCCTTTCAAGGGGCATTTACTCCCATGCCAACGAAAACAGGTCTCAAAAGTCCCAAAAAGAGGATAAACAGCTTCTGGGAGGCTATGCAGTGACTTGGTTCGCACTTGGTCAGAGCACCACTTTGCTTGTCCAGCACTACTGGCATGGCCATGTCATCATTTGTGACAATGGGCCTCGCTCCACTACTCACCAAATGTGCAAAATGATAATGAATCTTCCCCTAGGACATGGAAAGATAGAGAAGTGGAGCAAGCCCCCATGTCCGCTTATAAGGGCAGGCCGTACAAGACCCCTTCAAAATGACTAGCAGTCAGCTCAGCCTGCTGGTGCCTTCAAGGACAATTTCCTTCCCTCAAAGCTTAGCAAAAGAGAGGACCCACCTAAACTAGAACCCCAACCAACAGTCAAAAGCAGATTTTTCCAGAGTACATAATGTACCCAGAAAACACTTGCCTTGCTTGCAAAGTTCATAGCCTATGTACATAGCACTACTGAGCTGCAGTCTCACCTCTTTGCTTGTAAGGAGCAGCAGCCTCACTCCAGTACAAGTAATGCAGTTACTTGTCAGATGTTGTCCCCACTAAATGCCAATAAGCTGCAGCGTCATGCGCTTGAACCCGAGTACAAACCAAACAAGCATAGCTGGATCAAAGTTCTGAGAAAAGTCGGGTCAATGGGACTTATTATTGTGCTGTTGGCAGAGCTACAGTGCACAAATTGTCCAAGTTATCACCGTTCCTCAAATAGTTAGGCTGCTTGCATCTTGTTCTGTAGAAAGGGATACGGACCCTTAAACCACAAGCACGTTTCCCAGCCATTTTCCTCCAACGCGGCCGTGCTCCTGCTGCAAGTTTCCGAGGTCGGCCTACCAGGGCGAAATAGCTGGCGATGCCGGCCAAAAGAACACCCGTGCCAGTTCTCTTTTCTTTTGCATGCAGGGCATTTACAGGCTCGGCAAGCAAAGGGTCAAAAGTACAGCTGGTTCAACCATACGACGCCGTGTTTCAGCCGCCGAAGGTTGGAGCGAACAGAGGCTTTGTTGCCAAACAGATTTGCCATCGATGACACTCATTCATCTATTCGAGGCAAAGGGATTTGCTATACATGACACTCATTCATCTATTCGA